ATTCTTCAGAGTTATTCTTCAGAGTTATTCTTCAGAGTCATTCTTCAGAGTCATTCTTCAGAGTTATTCTTCAGAGTCATTCTTCAGAGTTATTCTTCAAATCATTCTTCCTAGTCATTCCAATAGTACAAGTCTGAAGTCATTCTTCAGAGTTTTACTTCTGAGTTATTTCAAGAGTACAAGTCTGAAGTCATTCTTCAGAGTTGTACTTTAGAGTTATTTCAAGAGTACAAGTCTGAAGAGTCATTCCAAAGAGTTAGCTCACCCGACCTCTGAAGTCTGCCTTTTCAGACTTAGCTCACCCGAACTCTAGAATCTGAACTCTGAAGTCTTCTTTTTTAGACTTAGAAGTCTAAACTCTGAAGTCTTTTTTTAGATTTAGAAAAAGAAGTCCGAAGTCTTCTTTTTCAGAATTAAAAGTCTGAACTCTGAAGTTTTCTACAAGTCTAATCTGAAGTTCTTTTTTTTTTCCAGACTTAGAAGTCTAAACTCTGATTTAGTGAGATTGATTTTATATTTCAGAGTTATTTCAAGAGTATAAGTCTGAAGAGTCATTCTTCAGAGTTTTACTTCAGAGTTATTTCTAGAGTACGAGTATGAATAATCATTCTTCATAGTTAGCTCATCTGAACTCTGAAGTCTTTTTTTAGCACCATGTAGAGCCTTTGCATAGTGCATACAGAGCTTCTAGCTTGTCTATACAGAGCTCTGAAATTTGAGTTTTACTTCAGAGTTATTTCAAAAGTACAAGTCTGAAGTTATTTGTTCAGAGTTATAATTTAGAGTTATTTCAAGATTACAAGTCTGAAAAGTCATTCTAAATTTACTTCTAAGTTTAAACTCAATTTATTGATATAGTTTCATTTCTAAATATAATTTTATTGTAAAGTTAATTTCATTTTAATTAATTATTAATATAATTTCATTTTTAAATTCAAGTTTGAAAAATTATTTTTCAAAATTATACTTTAAAGTTATTTCAAAAATACAAATTTAAAATAATATCGTACTTTCGATTATCATTTCCACATGTAAAATAAGTTTTCTGACATAATTTGATTTTTTAAAATTATCCTCACGGTATCCAAGCTAGTGGTTGGTTTATAAAGTAGTAAAAATAAGCTAATTAACCCTTCTCTTTTTGTATATTGATTAAAATGTTTGAATACTCCGCCGGCCGCTGTACTGTAGAGGATTTTGCCCTGCTTCCTTAAACAATCATAAACGTGGATGAAACCCTTGGATCCAAGAAAGTAATGCCAATGGAGATCGCAACTCCGAGTTAGTTTCTTGTTGATTAAAATGGATTTCGTCGAATTGGAAGCAATCGAAGGCTTGCGTTGGTCATGGAATTCATGGCCAGTATCAAAAACCGAATCAAACAACCTGGTAATCCCTTTATCGATAATGCAAACTCCATTGATGAAATTCAACGAGCTCCCACTCTTATCGTATGACCCATTGATCTGTTCCCGTTGTGGGTCAGTCTTAAACCCGTACGCCCGTGTTGATTACCCTTCTCGAATCTGGGTCTGCCCGTTTTGCTATCAGAAAAATTCGTTTCCCAGATCGTATGCTGAAATCGGCGAAAACAATATCCCCGCTGAGCTTTTCCCAACTTACAGTACTGTTGAATACCAATTGGGTCATCAGGGTTTGATGACTCCGACCCGGATGAATTCTAATCCGGTTCATAATTGGGGAACCAGTAACGGTTTGGGATTGACCAAGTCCAATTCTTGTTCGTCTTCTTCATCTTCACTATCGAGTTTGGATCAGCGAGCACTAGGAGGGCGGAGTTTGGGGATTGGTGCTGTGTTTGTGTTTGTGGTGGATGCTTCTTCGAGCGAAGATGAACTTCAAGCACTTAAGAATGAATTGTTGCTGATTGTTGCACAGTTGCCGGAAAATGCAATGGTGGGGTTGATCGTTTTTGATTCCATGGTGAGGGTGTATGATCTTGGGTTTACAGAGTGTTTGCGGGTAGTTGTCTTCCATGGAGAACGCAAGCTTTCTACTACCCAGGTATACTTAGTGTCATATGCACTGTATTAAAGTTCAGTGTTAAATCTTACTTAAATATGCAATTTTTTGAATTGTGACATAGTTAGAATGAACGTATGGATTGGTTATTTAAGTTGGTTCTCAAAAATCATAGTTGAGATTGTGGGTTTGCAAGTAAATCAACTGGTAAGTTTGCTTGGATGTAGTCACTAGTTGTAGGTAAATAAATAGTGTCTTTGCCATATGAAGGAAAGACCACCAATAAAAGACTTCCCTCTCCAACTGTTGCAAAGCCAAGGAGCCTTGGTGCAACGGTTTTGCCTTTTTTATTATCCCCTTTCTTTTGATGGTTGCATAAGCTATTACAATAGGCATGTTGAATTGGTGACATGATCTCATAGGACTTCCAGTTATAAACTGATGTGAGTAGGCTTTTGACAGTTGCTGATAGAAGTCCAACATTCGTTTGTATCCATAGCAAAAGCATTTAAGCAACATAGAGGATAATTAACCTTGGATTGGAAGTGGACCTTTTACATGTCTTTGATCACAATAGGCATGTTGCTACAGGTTCATGTAGTTTTGGTTGTTTAGAGCTGTTTGAATATCCGATCAGTAGGAGTTGCAGCTCACACTATGTGTGTGTATGGGGGGAGGGTCTGGTTTCGTGTTGCATTGGGGTACATGCTAGAGTTATGTATAAGCACAAAATCCTTTCTTTTGCTAGGAAACCACAACAAATGCTTTGATGCATAGATTTGACAGGGCTCTTGAATTTCACACGTTTTTAGTTGACATTTATCTGGGGAAAGTAAGAGCTCAAGGGGAGGTCTGATTAAGCTAAACGATGAAGGTTAAGTTACTAGAGTCCTCTGATAGTTAGAGGGTGTGTGCTTTTCCTTATCTGTTCTATGTTACTATGTACCTACCTCATACTACTTATTGCTCCTTTTCTTCTTCTTTTCTTTCCGTTGCTTACTATTTACTATTCTTTGTCGATTCGGATGAGCTATCTAACTCTTCCCTTCTGTAAGGAAAGCAATCTTTTTAGTTACATACAAGGAAACTATGAGAAAGATTGGTTGCCATAACAAGGTTTCAAAATATCCTTATTAATGTAACAAAGTTTCAAAATTTTATATTTTCTACCCATTTTGACTGGTAACCTACTGTTCGTGTAACATTTAGTGACGTGGATATGTGTTCACGAAAGGTTTATCGCGAAGTGGAAGATAAACTTGACATCTATGTTATCAGATGTTACAAGTTAGCATGTTATCGGTCAAAATGGGAAAACATAGGGAATTTGAAACTTTGTTACATTAAATAGGATATTTTGAAACTTTGGTTACATTGATCGAGAATTTCTTTTTGTTATGCCAACTAGGAACCAAGGCAAACTTCGTTGCATTTTGCCCATAGAAAATGGAAAAGCAAGAGGGAGGGGGGATATTTAGGAAAAGATTGGAATGCGGTAGTTATGATAGATAAGAGCCTAAAACTAATATAATTGGTATCAATATTCAAGAGACAAGACATGAGATCATATTAGCCGAAGAACTGAATATGTCACTTCGATGGCTTCTGAATGTCATCAATCTAGATGCATTAGTGATTATGCTTTTCCGTAGGCTGAATGAATTTATAAGAAGATAAATACAGGGAGGACGTTAAAGAAGTCATCTAGGTTGTGTCAATGAGCAAAAAACTTGGGTTAGATCTCAATGATCATTGAAAGAGATTGTACATCAATACATGCTGTGAAATGATTAACAGGAGTTTGAGGTATGGTGATACGAATCGAGAAGAACTGTTTGAAGTAGCTTATGGTTTGTTGGTTATAAATGTTAATTTATTAAAACATCTAACAGGATTTAAACTTAAGATCATCGATCATCATTATAAAAATTGTGTAAAACTTACTTGGTAGTATCGATTTCTGATTGACATTAGATGATGAAGCCATATCGTTAGGATGAGTCAATATTCCGGTGATGATGCCAACAATCCGGTGGAGGGATTCCACAAGTTATGGTGTTATTATTTTGAGAAAATTTTGGATCTCTCTTGTGTTCTTATGACATCTCACACATGAAAAGACCACCTATTTATAGTTAGTTATATGGCAGATTTTTCCATAAAAAAAGCTGCCATTAGTTAGTTAGGATTGATGATGTCATTAGGGCATAGTTAAGGGTATAAGTAATACTTATACCATATGTTAAATATTGTTAGTCTAAATGATTTAAGGCCACTTATAAGTAGAAATATTCTAACATTCTCCCACTTGGCCGTATAACCATTGATATGCAGACTAACCATTAACTTGGCCAAATATAAAGTTCATTCAATTCATCATAATTCCACAATAGCACCAAAGCAAAAAAAATACAGCCTAAAGTGTCGCAATTGACACAAGACCCCCACCTTTTATACTATTGATGCTAGTATGAAATCTTATGATTTGGTTAAGCCAAAATGACAATAAATTAATGAGGTAAATAAATATGTTTGTCCATAATGAAACATAAGTGTACACAATTGAACGCTAATACAGACAAACTTCATATTAATGGAGGATTAGATATTCAAGCGCTTGTTTTGATACTAAACATCATTATAGAATAGTTTACTAGTTACAACATTATGTAAGGTCTCGTCTAAATCCCATTTTGGCGATGTGATCTTGAAATACGTTGGGTGGTAGACCTTTAGTTAAGGGATCCGCAAGCATATCGTGAGTGCTAATGTGCTCGATTCATAAACTTTGTTCCTCCACTCTTTCTCGTACGAATAAATACTTTGTATAGAGATATAATCCAGCTCCACTTGAACTATTGTTGTTCGAGAAGCTTACTGCTGCACTATATCGCAGTAAATCTTTATTGGCCTTGAAATAGAGTTGACTACTTTGAGTGCACTAATCAAATTTCTCAACAACATTGCATGGCATGTTGCATCATAAACTGCTACATACTCAACCATCATTGTTGAGGTCGTCGTCAGTTGTTGTTTATGACTTCTCCAAGAAATAGGCCCACCTGATAGCATAAATACATATCCCGAAGTTGACCTTTTATCGTCCTTGCATTTTTGCATAGTCCGAGTCGGAATATCCGATCACCTCAAGGTTTTCCAATTTTCTATAAGTTAATTTGTACTCTTTTGTTCCTTGTAGATATTGTAAAACTTTCTTAGCAACTTTCCATTGATCTAGGCTAGGATTAGATTGATATCTGCCTAGCATGCCAACCACATATGCGATATCCGGTCGAGTACAAACTTGAGCATACATCAAGCTTCCAACCACAAAAGCGTAAGGAATGAGCCTCGTTTGTTCATGTTCTACCTCAGTTTTCGGACATTGGAAAGACCCGAAAACATCACCCTTAACCATAGGAGCAACGGAGGGGGTGCAATGTTGCATATTGAACCTACTAAGTACACGTTCAATGTAGGCCTTTTGCGATAGTCCTAATATCCCATTGGCTCGATCTCGATGAATCTCAATTCCAATAACATACGAAGCATCACCGAGATCTTTCATGTCAAAGTTTCTTGAAAGAAGACATTTTGACTCATACAACAGATCAACGTTATTACTTGCCAAAAGTATATCATCCACATAAAGCACAAGTATAATGAAATTTCTCCCACTCATCTTGAGGTGTACGCACTGATCTACCTTATTTTTAATGAAGTTATTCTTCATTACCTCGTCAAATTTTAGATACCATTGATGAGATGCTTGTTTAATCCCATAAATTGATTTCTTGAGTTTACAGACCAAGTGTTCTTGACCATTAGACTTGAAACCTTCCGGTTGGGTCATAAACACATCTTTATGTAAATTTTTGTTAAGAAAAGCAGTTTTGACGTCCATTTGATGTAACTCTAAGTCAAAGTGAGCTACAAGGGCCATTACGGTTCTTAGGGATTCTTTTCTCGACACAGGAGAAAATGTATCTTTATAATCAATGCCCTCCTTTTGAGTATATCCTTTTGCAACCAAACGAGCTTTGTATCGCTCGATATTTCCATTTGAGTCAAGTTTGATTTTGAATACCCATTTGCACCTTTCGGGTTTTGCACCCTTCGGGTTTTGCACCCTTTGGCAATTCAACAAGTTCCCAAACGTTATTTTTATTCATTGAACTAAACTCATCTTTCATAGCTCCCTTCCAATGAGCTGATTGGTCACAAGTAATGGCATCCTCATAGGATGTTGGGTCGTTACATTTCCCTAAATCAAAATCGGCCTCATTCAAAAAAATGAAATATTCGTCATAGTTTGTGGGCCGCCTAGGTCGTTGTGACCTACGTATAGGCTCTTGAGTTTCGTGAGGTTCAACATTAATTTCTTGAGGAGGTTCATGAGGAGCCGACTCATTTACCTCGGTATTTATTATATTCTCATTTTGTGACGTTAAATGATCACTCGAGGTGACAAGTGGCTTGTCGATCGAGATGGGCACATGAATTATAGGTGCCTCATCACGAGCCTTTTGTAATTCAATTCTTCTAAATGATCTACTCCCACTATTGCTAGAAATCTCAAGAAACTCTGCATGTCTAGTCTCAACAATTCTGGTACTATGTGATGGGTAATAAAATCGATAACCCTCTGATCTTTTGGGGTATCCAATGAAGTAACAACTAACGGCTTTTAAGTCCAGTTTTCCCAATTGAGGGTTGTATAATTTAGCTTCGGCCGGACATCCCCAAACCCATAGATATCGTAAACCAGGTTTCCTTCCCATCCAAATTTCAAATGGTGTCTTTGGACCAGATTTTGAAGGAACTCTATTAAAGATGTGGACATCCGTTTTTAATGCCTCAGTCCAAAGAAATTCATGAATGTTTGAATTTGCGAGAATACTACGAACCATGTCCATAAATAAGGGTATTGTTTCTCCTCTCGGCAAAGCCATTTTGCTGAGGGGTACCTGGCATGGTATATTGGTTTATGATCCCATGGTCTTTACAAAAGTCAAAGAAAGATCGAGGAGATTGACCAACAT